TATACTTGTATTATATTCCATCCTTTTCAATTTTCTGTACTTCTGGGTGAAGAGAATACCTGTTCTGGATGTAGTGCGATGTTCCTCACTTTGATACCACTTCTCGTGGTACATATTTGTTTTCTGCAGATGCTTTCTGTCCTCATCGGCCCTCCGCCTTCTCAATGTGGGATTCTAGCTATTAGTGTCAGTGGAGGTATGTATGTATGTTTTGGAAATTATTATTTTACTAAACTGAAAATGTATTTCCAAACATACTTACCTCCACTGACACTATCCCTCCTGACTAAGAGCTAATGTTAGTGATCGGAATGAGGTAAGTTGTGAAAAAGTGATTTTATTGTCTGCATACAATGCTTACATGGAGTACTTGCATAGAGTGCGTGTGAAGGCCAGCATAAAGTTTTGCAAGTTAGATATTGCCGAGGGCAATTAAGTGGGGTATATAAAGACTGGAGTAAGTGAACACAACATTAGATGGCAAAAATGAAGATCAAGAAATAGCTATTAGTGTCAGCAGAGGTAAGTATGTTTGGAAATATATTTTCAGTTTAGGAAAATGATAACTGAGGAACCTTTGAATGTTTAGAACTATCTCCAAGTCAGTATTGAAAAGTGTCAAATTTTGCACTTGGAGGATGGAACTTTATAAAAGGCTTAGGTTATGTGCAAAAATTTAAATGTTGTTAGAAGATCCAATTAAATTTACTATTTTTGTCATCCACAGTCATGAATAGCTGCTTGACTTGAAACAGAAGAAAAACAACCTCAAGTATTCAGTTTCCAACTCTTTCAAAAATCTATTTTTTGGTATATAGAGTATGTGAACAATACTCTTAAAACAGTCACTTTCAGCATTCAGAAGCTTACCTTTTTTCATAAATATTTTAAAACTGTAATCTCCCAAGAGTGTCTTCCATTTTGAGTAGTCATATGATACCATATTACAAGATACCAAGTGGCAACACCTCCAGGGTTTTGAAGGAATGAAAATGCTTTACACATTGTACATGTGGTGTATAGGAGAAATGTTAACAAATCAGTAAGCTGTCATGATACATAAAAAGTACAGTATTTTATCCAAATATCACAGTACCATTTCTAAGTCAACTGAATCAATAAAGGAAGTATATATATATATATATCTACAGTATTCAAGTAAAACTTCTACTGACCTTTGCTTTTTTTTGGGAAGGGGGTCCAAAAGATGGCCAGTTTAGAAAATGAAATTAGTTCTTCATTAGTTTGGGTGCCTCCTCTTGGAAAAGTAACTGTCAAGTTGAAACATTGTTTACATAGCACATACAATTCTATAGATCACCTAGAAACAGTAACCTTTACATTAAACCAATGACTTTCAAATTTTTGCTAGGAGTGTCATGAGAGTTTTACCAAGCAAAGAATAATTAAGAACAGTAAAAAAATGGACATTCTTGTCTGAACTCTTTTAGTATCCAAAAAATGATCTTATTTTACTGTATTTGTCATTCCCAAGAAAAATACACAAGAGTTTAATGTCATTAGCAAACTCCACTAATAAGGAAAAGCAGAGGCCCAAGTAGTGTATACGTTGTTTTCCCTGTACATCTTGTTTCTAGATACTTTTAAAGTAAGTCATTTAGAAATAAACAAAGTAAATTATCTTTCCCATGAAAAAAGAAAGAAAAGATTATCAAATATAAACAGGTTTTTACTTTGTAAAATTTAACTTTGGCTTATTATTCATAAGTACAATGTGCTTGCATTTGTAGTAAATGAGAAATTGCAAGTCTCACATTAAAGTACTCAATATGTTATGTGTAGTATAATAGTTCATCTAATGTAGCTGTTATAATTAAAAGGTATATTTTTGTTTTATACTGAAACCAGCAATCTGAAAGTCTTGAAGAAGCATTCAATTCATTTATCATCCACTCCCCTGGTCAGGAAAAATGGAAGATGAAAGCATATGAAGATGGATTGAAGAACTTGTTTTCTAATATGCCTCATGTATGTTACTAAATCATTGAACTTGGTAGCTCAAATTGTTCATTGGTACTATGCTTTAATTTGTTTATAGTTAAAGAAATGGTTTCCATTACAGTACTTACCTCCACTCGCAAGATTAGCTATTCTTGTTCAGTGCTGCCCTCTATATGCAAACTTTTTCTTTACTCATGCCACAAGCCTTCCGCTCCCCCCTAATTGGAATTGCAAGATCCCAACCTGTCTCTCATGCAAATCATCATGTGTCACATTCTCACCAATAACAGCATGATATGCTCACATGACGTATGTGATTCCCTCTACAATCCTCTACCAAACTATCACTTCTTGTTTGGCAACGCTTGTGTTTGAATGTTCTCTTTTGTTTGTTTAATGCTTCACATTTAACTTTATTTCTTCACGAAGTGGTTGTTTTTCAAATTAATTTGCTTTCATTCAGCCTGTTTCTTCTATCAGTTAATTCTAGTCGCCTTATTTCCTGCACTCAAATTTGGTGAAGCTTTCGGTGCAATGAATTCTGAAGTTAATGTTACCATTTCGGGGGTTACGCCAGCGATCAGCATTTTTTTCTCAGGCTACGGGTGTGGGTGATCCGACAGTGGATTTATCTTTTTTTTTTATATATGCTGGGAGATCGAATGTTACAGGGGACAACCTTTGTCCTCAGACATTGCCCAGGCTGATCCTGTGCAGGCTGATGTGGACTTCGGTCATCTTTTTCCACCTCCAGATTTTGCCATTCTTTCCCATTTCCAACCTGATGAGTCTACTAGGCCTAATGCTGTCTTTATGGATTTTCTCTCTCAGGTTTGTGATGTTTTATCCCTTTTCCCTATTTCTTATGGATCTCATCTTTCCTTACTGCATGAACAGTCTTCCCAACCTTTTTTGGTTTTTCCTTCTCACCTTATATTTTGGTTCATACTGATCACTTTCCCTCACAATTAAGCACGGGGATTAGCATACCATGCCCCCTGTGGACTTCAGATCAGTTTGCACTTTCCTGTCATTGTGCTGACTATCCATTTTTAGACCAGTAGTTGTTAATTTCATTATTGCCTATTTTGGGAGTGACTCCTGAATCTATCAGTCTTACCCATGCCTGATATTCTCGTTTGTGTCTTACCCTTACAAATCTATTATGTTATCTTTCTTCCATACACCTCCTATCTGAGGCTCTCCAGAGAAATTGAGGGGTTTTCTGGAGATACCCTTTGCCCTTCTCTACTTCACTTTAGCCCGCATGTTGTCCTCGGTTCTGGTGTTACATACATGATTTCTTTGTTGTTTGGACCTTAAAAGTCCTGATACCGTATTAGCTCGGGTCCTTTTACCCTTGATGTATCTTAGGGACTTAGCTGGTTCCATATGTCCATCTACCATGGAAGTGTACCAATGCAAGTGGAAGGTATTCTGTCCTTGGTCTACAATTAGGGGGTTTCCCACTGGTCAGCCTACTGTGGCTCGTGTAGCAGAATTTCTCACCTGGCTCTTTGACTGTGGGTTTTTGGTCTCCTTGTTTTTGGGATATGGGACAGCCTTATCCTATACCTTTCATTTTTCCTGATACCGTAGAGTTTTTACTTCCCCTGTCCTTACCATACTTTTGCATTCTTTCCAGATACGTCACCCTCCCAGGTGACCTAACATTCCGGATTAGAATGCTAACGTGGTCCTCCATTCCCTTACTTTACCTCCATTGAACCATTTTCCTTGTGTTCCTTGTTTCATTTTTCCATTAAAACATATTTCCTTCTTCTCTTAACATGTGGACATCAATGGTCTGATTTGTTTGCCATTGATGTTTCATGTACCCTTTATAACCCTACCTATCGTATCCTTTATCTAGATCATTCCTTTCTCCCGATGACCTCACCATCTCGGGAGGGTAGTTCCTCCTTTCTCATATTTCCCTTCTCCTCATTTCCCATCTTTACCCTCAGCTGGATCCGGATAGACTTCTGTCCCTGGTCAGGGCTCTTCATTGTTATATCATATCTGACACCTCAGTTTCTCCCTTGCTTCTCGTCTTTGTCATCCCATGAAGGAGTCTGCAGTCCAGAATGTGGACCACACCCAGTATGTTCATCTCCCACTATCTCCATCATATTGCGGTTTCCTCTTTGTCGGGGTTTCATCTACCACCTGTGGCTGTTCATCAGACTTCGGTGTGGCTGTAACTGGTAAGTTTTTATTCATACTTTTTTCAGGGGTCTTTCTCTATTCCTTTATCCCATGGATTCCACTTTGTGGTGAGTGGTGCCTGACCAGGTATTCTTAACTTGAAATCTGCACTGTCCAGCCATGTTGACTTGCACTTTATCTTTCATGGCTTCTTATGTTCACCGTTGAGGTTGGGTGTTCCACAAGATCGCTTGTGGGTTCATGACCTTGTATTATTTTGCTTTATAAACATGCCCGTCCAAAACCATACCACCCATGTACTGCATGGGTAAAGCAGAATGGAACTGCTGACCATCCTTACCATGCCTGGAGTGAATAACTCGGTATGGTCTGCTTTTCAAAATAAGGTTTTGTGGTCACCCATCACACTGTCTCAGTTGATGACATTCCTCCAGACTCTCCACCACATTGTCACCCTCCTTTCTTTGAGTGGAGTATGGGAGTCCTTACTACTTTCCAAGTGCAAGCTGCTGGGGTGGTTGACCATGGAGGTACCCTGCTGAATGAGTTCCACACAATAACCATTCAGTTACAGAGTAGGGCAGTGGTGTTCTGCGAGTGTAGATGATGTGATATCCTCCTATTTGCGATAATCAATGACAACGGAGTGAGATGTCACAATGCAGTTCTCCCCTCGATTGGAAGCCCTTATCCTACCCTGGCATAGATGTCAGTACCTCGCAGTTGACTCTAAATCCAAAACCTGCCTGCACAGGTTTTGGATTTTCTATCTTACTCCCTCAATCTCCTCCATCTGTTTTGTGGGCCACAGCAGTGGTACATGGGATTGTTCCGGTTCTGTCCTTGTCTATCACTTGTCCTCTCTTCTTACGAGGATGTTATTGCCATTTGCATGATCCTGACCCGTTTCACAGTTGGAGGAGTTGATTGAATGCGATAGACACCCTTTTGTTACCGGATGTCAAGTTCCCAGATCAATAGCTCAGAGCTAAACCTTGTGTCATATCTGGGAATCAGAGTGGTTCTCATTTCCCCAATTCTTGGGTTTCAGGTGAAGACTGTATAATCCTCATCCTACCCTTGCATGGACATTAGTGCCCCATGGGCAGGTTTTAGATATAGTTGACTTACCAAGTACAGTCTGCTTTGCCCTAGCCACTCTACACCTAGAGGTGCATCCTTTGTTTGCCCACTTTTCTCACTGTGAGATTGAGTGACAGTATATTTCTAGGGTTAGGATCACTTTCCTGCCACATTCATTCCCACTTGGATATGCTCTCCTCATTTTCTGCTCTTATATCGTACACATTCCACAGTTGGGTGAAGAGTATACCGGGCTTAGAAGTGGTGCGATTTCCCCTTATCTGATCTTCATATCTGAATCTCTCATTTCCAAGGGTATCATTCAGATGCTTGGGGGGGGGGGGGGTAATTCTGTCATTCCCTCACACTGGTCCCTCCTCCTTATCAATGTGGGATTCTAGCTAATCTTGTGAGAGGTGGTAAATACAGTATCTGAAGTTACAATTTTCCTATACTGAAAATGTATTTCAGATAGGTACTTTCCTCTTTTCACACTTCCCACCCTTACTTCCCATATTTTTCTAGTGCTGACATCTTCTGTCAAACTTCAAAGTGATAGTTCAGTAGAGGAGCATAGAGGGAGTCACGTGCATCATGTGAGCATGTCATGCTCCTATTAATGAGAATGATGATTTGCATGAGAGACATGTTGGAATCTTGCAATTCCAATAGGAGGAGCAGAAGGCTTGTGCCATGTGTAAAGAAAAAGTTTGCTTATAGAGGCAATACTGAACAAGAATAGCTAATCTTGTGAGTAGAGATAAGTACCTATCGGAAATACATATTCAGTATAGGAAAATTATAACTTTTCTATGTTGAAAAAGAGTTTAACTATTTGGATTTCTATCACATATGAACACTTGCTAAGAGACACAGTGACACAGAATAAAGATACATTTACACTTTACATATATATGTATATGCCAATGTAAAAAAACATATTCTAATATCATTAACATTGATGTAGTTATTCTTCATTACACATAATATATAAAATATAGATAATAAGGATGACCCTAACTCAGGTGTTTTTCTGATTTTTCAAATTATAAATTTTTTTCCAAATCAATTGTGGTCAGGAAACATTTAAATCTGTTCTTAGTCTGAAGTATGCAATTTTTCAGTTCTTGTTATAAAAAGCTTTCATTTGAGAAAATATATTTTATTATTGAGGTGTTGTAACATGAGAAAACAGTTTTATAATGCATACATGTAGCAATGGCATAGAAAGTAAAAATATGTATGGAGCTTGCTGAGTAACAAGACACAATGTTTGGAATTCAGATATACTAGTTGAATATTCTTAAAAAGAAATACATACTGTTCTCTGGTATAATAGATTGCATAAAAGATGTACTAGTGTATCTTATCAGATGTAATATTATGATACTCCTACTGATATTATGCTACACTCTGTTTAACATAAATTTTATATTTGTTAGGCATAATTAAAACCAAAATGAATTTCTTTTTTTTTTTCACAACTTACTCATTATACTATTTATGTATGAACTGAGCATAGATACTAAAGCCTTACGGTATGGAAGTTACAATAAATCACTTGAAAGGTAAAAGAAAAAAATGTTTGGACAGACCAGGTCAAATATGATTCATGGAAAAATGAGAACACTAAAGCTTTGGCAGTACAGGGGGGGGGACAACTAAAAAAATTGCAAGTTTAGTAAACTTTTAAAAATATATATAATTATAATATAGATACAATATATTTATAAACCACATTGCTAAGTTCTGGTGGCATTCAGCAACTTCACCAAAGAACATGTTAACCTGTAATAACATTGAATGCCACTGAACTTTTTCATTGCATTTATTTGTAGGTAATAGGTTTGTTATGTTTTTTTGTAAAATGTATTTATACTGGAGGTTTATTATTCCTGCAGGATTCGGTTGAATCAGCAGTGAAACAGTATGTTAAAGATGTATCTGAACTAAGCAGTCAGAGACAGGCAACTCTTCTTCTTTCAATGCTTGAATTTGGTGTATCATCCAATCTTCTTTCCCCAAAGTAAGCATTTGTTTTATGTAAAATATGCCAAAACTGAGTGAATGTATTAAGTAGTGTCAGCAATAAAATTTAATTTTGATGAATTTATAAAAGCTTATTAACATTGTTTGTTATGGTTAACTGGAGGATGCTACAAACAAGTTGACTTAAAATTATGTAACCAGAATGCTGATAGAAATCTATAAAAACATCAAGATACAGTCTCTAAGCCTTAAAGATTGTATTTACTCTTTGATATGTTGTGAAAATGAATAGACTAGAGCTGGGCAATTAGTGGAATTTGCCAATCAATTAGTAAAAAACAACTGACCATTATTCTTCAGTGAGATGGCAAAAAAGCAACTTATAGCACTAAAAATCAGGTTTCATACTTGAAGTGAGAAGAACATAGATAGCCCATTGTGTAGCTTTTGGCCTAACAACAAAGAAACATAATGGCAATAATTTGATTACTTGGATAGTTGGAATAATTGGAAATCTTAATTTGGATTGGTTGATTATTTTTGGAATCTTGACATTATTCAATTAAACTGAACAAACTTGAATTAATCAAAAATCATATTTGCAATAATTTAAATATTGGATAGTTGGAATAATCAAAAACACTAATTTTGATTAGTTGATTATTTTTGTAACATTAATCATAATATTGATTACTAGATAGTTGGAATAATTGAAAATAGTAATAATTGGAAACACTAATTTTGATTAATTAAATGTTTTTGTGACATTAGTTGATTGTAATTTCAGCTAATCAATTATAAACCAAGTTAATTGCCTGACTCTAGTAGAAACAAGTACTATGCACATATATTACTTGAATTGTAGTGATATATACATATATATATATATATTTTTTTTTACTTGACTCATTGACAGACTTGTCTGTGAGACATTGCTTATCTGTGAAAAACTCCAGTATCAAAATGAACATTTCTGGCTACAGACTTTTCAGTTGGTGAGAAGAATCATCTCTGGAGTTGACTATAAGGTATAAAATACCCAAAAATAGTTATGCTAACAGAAATAAGTATTTATGTAAATGTAAAGTTAAGAAAAAAAAATGAAATTTTGTTTTGTGTTGGTGGTGATACTCAAACCTAAGAACCACAGTGGTATTAATTCTATTACTGGCATTTCATCCTAAGTTTTATTCAGCAAGAATTTACACTAATTTTATAGATTGTATGACTAATTGTATACTGATATTTTAAAGTTACATTTCAGCATTAAAATTAAGTGAATAATTTAAGGCTTAAATGAAAAAGTGGTAAACAGCCAAAAACATTAGACCCCCTTTTGGAGCCCAGTTAATGCAGAATTGTCAAGGGTGTTAAAATAGCATTACTGTAGCTGTTCTTTTTTAGCTAATTATCTAAACTCATTTTCTCTAGAGCAGTAATGTGTTAAAAACACACTAAATCACTATAAGGTACTGGAAACTGAACTGTTGGGCAGTAGCATTCATTAAGGATGCAAAATAATTGAGTGAATTTGGCTAATGTTGCTTACATAGCATAAAAAGAAGGGACATTTGGTTCGCAATTTTCTGTTGGAACTGTTTTATTGATTCTTCGCTTGTAAAATTCAATTGTAAAACATACATGCACACAATTTCTTGCAATTTCGTTGAATATAAGGTTTTTAGAGAAACAAAGTAAAATTTATAAGTACCAAATTTAGCATTCTTAATATAAGTTAAACAGTGGACTAGATTTAGTGGGGCATTTAAATTTTTGCATTATACTTTTGAGAAACTGATGAACATGTGTAGGAAAAGGAAGATGCACTGCTTTGGGTATATAATTATATCTCGTGGAAAGTTGGAAGAGATTCTTATGGGTAAAATTGAAGGAGGAAGTGCGATAGGCAGGCAGAGACTCATGAGCCATTATTATTAGAAAATGGGTTTGCAATGAGAAGCTTGAATTAGGAAAGTTGGTGCAGGCAGCAAGGAATAGAGAACAATGGAGAACCATAATCATTAACCCTCAGAAGTGTGCTTTAACATTAAATGTAGTGTGTAATAGTTAGATCATGTTTTGGCATTATTTAATCACAATTAAAAATATAAAATAATTTCAGTACTAATATTAGATTGTGTAAGAGAACGTGAAAATGTTTTGTTTCATCGCTGTTGTATTCTTAGTTAATGAAGATAAAAATAAGTGCTTATTAAGTTATTATTTTCAAACACTTTGCACATTGTTCTTAAATCTACATGAAAATTATTACTGAATGATTATTATTATAAAAAAGAACATATCTTTGGTAGAGATTTAATATTAGCAGTTTGGCCAATTCACAATTAATCAGTGCCATTTGATTAATTAATTCAACAGTACTAACCTTAAGTAGCTTGATGCCTTGTGAATAAAATACTTGTACCTCCACCTTCCCAAATAAAAGTTTACAATTATGTAGCCATCTTATGGAATTTATGTAGTTTTAAACATAGGTATGGAATGGTATGGATATAGTGAGTTAAATGAGGAAGTAGTATTGTAGATGGTGCAATTTGTATGCTTTTATGTTCTGTTTTTACTAGTTAAGTAACACAAAGTCTTGAGTACTTAAAATGATATAATTCCCAAATGAAGAACACTATTTGAATTTATTGAACAGTCAACATCTATATTTTTTATCCCATGAATTCATTTGTTGGAGAACCGTAGCCAGCCACAATAACAGTGTAATTTGTTAAGGAATAATACTGTTACATTGCTCCTTTAGGCTAATGACTAATTCAAAAGAAAATATCTTTCTTTTATTTACATTGTCATTAATTTGCATTTTAGTATGAATCTAGTGCTGTTGGTTAAATTGAACTTTATATTATTGGTTAATATTTAAAATTGAGTGTTTTTTACTAATAAAAATTTAACTAAAGCTTGGTTTCTTATCTCTGTTTCCATTGTAATTGGTGCTGGTTATCATTATTTGGATGATTATTGATTAATCAGCATACCTCTACTTTTTGTGGGATACTCATCGACCCCAAGTGTGGTTTTGGAGTTCAGTACAATGTCAAAAACGATACATGTTTTTTTTTAAGGGTGTACGAGATTTGCTGAAAATTATTCTTGGGAAAGCACATACATCTATAATCCCATCCAATATTAATGTGTCAGTACTAAATCAACTAAATGCCCTTCAGCAGGTAAGAATAGTTAGCTTTTAGTCTGTGTGGTTTTTTTTTATTAATTAGTTTGTATAATCTTTTTTTAATTTCTTAATAAAAACCTGGTTAGCGGAATAACAAATGTTGGGAATGACATAAGTACAATATATTTCAGATCAAATGATATGCACTTAATAACTTTCTTGCTATGGGCTCAGTCAATTCAACCAAGTTTGTGTCCCCAAACTGACCATCAGAGTTTCCATACTATAACTTTTTATATGTTTTGTGTATATTCACAAAGTTTGGTAAGCTTCAAGTGCAAAGTGATTTCTATGTTAAGATTAAAAATACTTTTCTTTCACTTAAAATTGTAAAATTTCAATTAATATTATTTGTAAAATGTCCTAATTAAAAGCTAAAAGTGTTTTTTAAGTAAAACTATGTATTTTATCCTTTATTTTCTCTACCATAACTATACCCATTCGGGCAATTTGACCGACCTTGTAATCGCCATATATTAGGAAATAGATTAAAATTACCTTTTTTTCTTTCTATAATGACTGCAAAGTGTAATTGTTTATGCTAAATTGCTTAAAGCTCATAACAATGTACATCTGTCCTTATAACTGCATCTAACTAATGATTCCACCATACAAGTTGTAAATCACTCAGTGAATCACTCAGCAGCTCTCGTTACCATATTGATTTTTGTAATGCATAAGCTGCTCACAAGCATACCTCGTGAATAATTTTTATTTATTTTTTCTCATTATCTTACCTAATCTAACCTTATATATTTTAATAAGTTTCTACTTTTTATATTTTAATTACTTCTATAATAATAAATAAAGATTACATATGAAAAACAAGAAATATAGTACTTACTTGGGCCTTTTTTTTCATTGCTCATGACTGTTGAAGAAACTTAAGCCTACTTTTTATACTTATGATACTACTACGCGAATTAACTTATCTACTTAGATAATGCAGAATAATAGTATGTAAAAAGCCAACAATGTCCTATAACTGTCATAACTTTTCTGGTTTTCTAACTATACAATAAGAGCCTTTAAAAATTCATCTAAGCTCGTTGATGGGATTCCCATAAGAATAAATATTAAACTAAATTTCGAAATAGACAATACTCTGTACAGAAAAGAAAATGTAATATAATATGCCTTTTGATACATTACAGTTTGGGCTTTCTATTGCTTATAAATAATGTAGTATAAAATATCAGAGAAAACTATTCGCAATTTATGAAAGAGTGCCTGAGTAATATATATAATGAATAATTTATGTTAAATTCCTTACTTCTTGGAAGGGTGATAAATACCTTAAAGAAGAGGGAAAAACCTAGAGAGCAAATGTCACAATTCTCATAGTGGGGGAGATTTTTTTAAATAATTCCTTATAAAATTAGGAACTTAAAACTTATATTGAAAACTGATTTATTACCTACATTTTGTTGCCAAGTTTTAATCCTATACAATGATAATAAAATAGGTTTATTAAATTTTGAATGTAACTCTCTAAAAAGTCATAACATTTGCATTTTGACCTGCTGATAGTGAGTGGGTTAATGAAAGTTTTCATGTTCAAAGTATGCAGTTTGAAAATATAAACTAGTTGTGATCTGATCTGGAAACATTTCTCAGTAGTGTTGTTTATAAAAATTTATAGCAAATAAAAAACACCAAAACCTCTACTTTTGTGGGTTGACTCTGTGGTTTTATAGTGTATTCAAATTCAGAGTAAAAGTTGAAATACCAAGTTTAAATTTTAGGTCTATTTTGTTTTGTTTTTTATTATCTTTATGTACTTAAATTTTCAAGCATTTGATTCATATTATGTATACATTGACTCACTGTTTATCTATCTAATGCTGTGTTTAAAAAATGTTAGGTCTGAAATATGTAGCTACTAAAGAAACTTCTCAGTATTCAAAATTTTATGCCATTAACCCTCTCATAACAGGTAAGTCAAAGTGTGCCTGTCTCGAAGTTTCAAAATTTAATTAAACTACTTTATTATCAATGTATACAAATAAATATGACATCTAAACATAGTTAGTAAGTCAAATGTTAATGTCATATAAACTTAAAAGTTCTTAATTTTATTAAGAAATATTTAAAACAATCCTCAATCTCCCCTTGTATGAGAATCGTGACATTTGTTCTCTAGGTCTTCTCCTTTTTCTAATTTATTTACCACCATTTTCTGAAGTATGGAATTTGACATAAATTACTCAATATATATATTTCTAAGGTAAAGTCTGATTTTTATAGTCTTCAATCTTATTTGTTTATGGAGTCATAAACTAGAAAATCAGACTCACTTTTAACATCCACCTGTCACGTCCTCTCTTTCATAAATTGCAAATAATTCACTCTGACATTTTATACTACATAATTCATAACCCATAGAAAGTTAATGTTTTAATCTATTGAATGGTGTATAATGCTGAATTGTTTTCACTACAGAGTACTGTCGATTGTGTCTTCAGTCTGAAAGTTTATCTCGAGTTGTTGAGGTCAAGCAGCAAAGGAAATTAATTTAAGTCTATTTTGTCTTACTAAGAAAGCCATGCAAATTATAATAGCTAAAGAACATTGTTTGCTTTGTACACTGTATTATTATATGTTCTTAGGTGCATTATTTAAGTAAATAAAAACATTCAGTAAACATTATAAGTCTTTCACATACAAAAAAAATCATATTTTTAGTGAAGTATTTTTAATAAACTAAAAAAAGATTTGTCCTTGGATATATCGAGTATTTGTTTTGAATAGTCCGTGTGCAAAGTAATTTTCGTGTTAAGATTAAAAATATTTTTCTTCATCTCAAAAATCTCAAATTTCATTTGTGGAATCTCTAAAACCTTCTAAATGTTTCAAATGTTTGTTTTCAGTAAAGCTTTATATTTTATCTGTTATTTTCTCTAACATGACTCTATATGTGATTGGTCAATTTGACTGACCTTGTAACCACCAAAAAAATAAAAATAAATCTAAATTACCCTTTTTTTCTTTCTAGAATGACTTCAAATGTAACATGAAACTACACTCATTTATCCTAAGTAGCTTTAAACTTGTAACAGTATACATCTATTTATAATTACATTTAATTGTTTTATTGCACTTTGAACTACGTCTAACTTCTATTCATGCCATTATAAATTATAAATCACTTGGAGAACATGTAGCTCGTGTTACGCTATCCAACTACCTTATCCACGAGCTACTCCGAGCCGCTTGCGTACGTGCCTTTTGAAATATTTTTATTTTATTATTATTATTTTTACCTAATCTAACCTTAACTAACCTAAAGAGATCCTTATTTTTACATTTTAATTACTTTTATAATAAAAAATAAAGAATAAACATGAAAAACTAGAAATAAAGTACTTACCCAAGTATTCTTTTTTTTTTTTGTCGACTATTGATGACACTTACCCTACTTTTGTATACTAATGGTAGTAGTGAATTAAATAATTTTATTAAATAATGCACCAAAGAACATAGAATAATAACATGCAAAAAGCAGACAATTTCCTCTAACAATTAAAGTTTTTCTGCTTTTTAACTATGCGACAAGAGCCATTACAAATTCATTCAAGCTAGTTGTTAACTTTCCCGTGGGAACCAAGGCTGTACTATAAGTGAAATTGATGATTATCTGTTCAGAACACAACGTAATATAATATGTCATTTGATAGGTGAAAACCTTGGCTTTCTATTGGTTATAGGTAATATATGTAATTAAATATAAAGGACAACTATTAACAAATCCTGAAAGAGAGGGTGTGGCAGGAGGGGTCTGATTTTCTATTTGATAGCTCTGTGACCAAACAGAATTGAAGGCTATAAAAATTATGGTTTGTCTGAGCAACAACGATTTTATAGTAAGTAATTTACATGTAATTTCATAGTTACTGGAGGGGTGGTGGATAAAATAGAGAAGATATCTAGAGAAAATGTGTGGTGTGTCAAGATTTTTTTAAATATGGCCTAATAGAATTAAGAACTCAAAACTTATATACTATTAAAATATGGATTATTAACTAAGATTTTATGCTATACTAATTGGTGTAACATAAACAAAAAGTAGTTTAGTAAAATTTTGAATGTAAGACACTAAAATCTTATGTCATGTGCAGTAAAGGATACCTGTGGTGATAAAGTTAACACTTTGCACTGGGAACAGTCAACACTCTGACTCCATGTATTTACAGATAAATTTGAAATAAATTAACTTAATCAGATAATCTGATTTTTAATGTGCAAAATACTTACAATGCTTAGTAAAAGCTTGCATAATTTTGTAAAGATACAGTAAGTACTTTCATAGTTGAGATGAAAATGGTACTAAACATTCGATTTCAAAATATCCAGTGCATACTTCAGTAGAGAAACAACCTGTTAAGATCCTTTGCTTATTTTGTCAGTGGTTGCCATATTGACAAATAAACGGTCAAGTCAGAAAAAGATTTAATCGATCCTTTCTTCACTTTCAGTGAATGTACATGGAACTAGAAATGTGCCTATTATATAAACATGAACAGATAACATCTGGCCTAGTGAAGTGACAATAAATGTTTCTATATACAAAAATAGGTTATTTTTCTGGATAGATTTTATAGGTGATAGCCAATCTGGGATGAGAACATAAATTTAAGTAAAAGCATGACAGAGTGAGCAGATTTTGAACAAAAAATTTATAAACAAAAACTATACAAAAACACATACATACAAGTGGACGACACAGTTATGTACCCAAATATATTGTTCAATTTGGATGGCCCTCCAGTAGGTCAGCAATAAGTTTGTTGGTTTACAAAGCTGAATGTGATGTTCAATTCCTTGTGGTAGACATAGTACAGATTCCCATTGACTAGCTTTCTGCCAAAAACAAGAAAAAAATGATGTTGGAAAATATTTTAATATGTTACTTCTAAAGGCATATAAATGCAAGTCCTGGACAAGTTTGATTCTAATGGGATGTTTCATGTGTATGAATTATGCCTAGAGCATGGAAACAGTCAGCTCTGTACTAAATAATGCATTTCTTTTGATGTTACAGTGTCAGTTTATGCACCATTGTTGCATACCTCTGAATATGCAAAACATGAGAGTTAAGCTTCTTGTGCTATTTTGAATATTTAAGAATTTTCATTATAAATTATTTTTTACTTATAATTTTCAGTTTGTTGAAAAAGTTTCAGAGTTGAAAAGCCTGGCATATTGACTTTATTTCACAAAGCTCCTTTTTACACTCTGCTGTAGGTAATGGAACATATTTTTGATCGAAATGCTAGTCTACTTCCAAGTTACTTAGTCCTTGATGAGGTTCAGAAGAGGCTATGCCCAAAAGGTGGCTGGCCACATTGGGTAAGTTCTATAAGTTGTAAGTGTTTGAAAATAAAATAGCCAAACTGTATTACCAGTCTTTCAAACAAAGCTTTTTTTAAATAAAATATTGTATATAATTTATTCATACAAAAATTTCTTCCTTTTCCTTTTCCAGAAATTTTCTAAGCTAATATCATCATTTATAGATAGTTTCCAGCCTACTGCGCAGATGGTGTCAGTCACACGTAAGTGTTTCTAGTGTTACTTTTGTCTTAAACTGAAAATAAATTGTCAGAATTATATTAGTTTTGCAAAATTTTTGAATTCTAGCTCATTTCAACTAACTGAATACTAATTTATACTATTTGAAAATAATGTTTCCTAAGATTTTAACAACAAAGTTTGAAATTTACATGTTGTTAAGAAAGTGATACTGTTGTATTTGTTAAATTTTTTTCTTTATATTTTATATAATGTTAATCTTTTTTTAAAATAAAATTTAATGATTAAATGTAATTTTTTTTCAATCATTTAGATTGCATCATTTGTATTTTAAATTTGCTCTAGCCTGAAAACAGTCTTATGAGCACCATGCTAACAAACTTATGCTTGATGAGAATTTCAGCACCAGAGTTGAAAATACATCTCAAAAACATATGCAAAAATGTCTGAATTTTATGTATAACCTCACATTCATTATAGGTTCAAAAAAAGTATAATTGCTCAAAATATTTGCTTTAAATCAAGTGCTAGTGTTATTTTTTGAACAATTTAAATGGATTTTAGCCAATCAGAATACTATCACTTACTTTAGACAGCACTAAAATAGTAACTTACTATAAACTTGTTTCATTTTAAGAAAAAAAAAAATAGTTGAGATATGAAATATTTTAGCAACATCTATATACTTGCAAAAGCTACATGATAATAGGATGAATGATAGTAGAATAAGCTTGTTTTTGTATTTGGTCTTTTTGTAATTTATTTTTTCTGCTGGTTTTACTCATTCTCTTCTTATAAGAAATTAAAAAAGGTTGACGTAAATAGCAAAAGTTTTTAACAAAAATCCAACAACATCACACTTGGTAACATTTGAATAGCTTATTGTCTTAATTAAAAACAATCATAAAAGGTAAAATAACCTTAACCATGCAGGTAGTTAAGAATGAAAGCTTTTATTTGCCTAAAAAGATCTGTATATAATTGCTGCTTGGTTAATTTTTAAGTGATGATAGAAGATAAAAATCTATACTCATGCATCACCTAGCGATTGTTGTAGAGTTGTTGCTAGGTGATAATTTCCACTGTATCTTGCTGAACTTGTCACTAGTAACATCTTATCCAAGAAGACCACCAGTAATGTAGCCAAAAGTTTGCATAAATAAATAAAGTATTATTTACATGGAGAAGTATTGCAGAACTTTTCTTAATAAAAAAAAACCTCAAAATTAAAAAAAAATATTATTTTTTATAGACAATTCTATAAAAATGAGGTTGTTTCCAGTTTCCAAATTACTAAAATACAATAACTTACTGTACAGAATAAAAAGTGGTAAAAATCCCAAAAAAACTGGAAAACAATCTCATACACTCTACATGTTTCGATGTATACTATTGCATCATCATCGAAACATGTAGAGTGTATGAGATTGTTTTCCAGTTTCATCAGGTTTTTTTACCTCATTTTTATAGAATTGTGTATACAATAATCGCTGTTTGAGTTTTTAAGATTGAACATTACACACGTGCCAAAACATTTTTTGAAAAAAAAAGAATCTAAAATGATGTTTAATATTTATTAGAAGAATTGATATTCCTTGTAACTTGTACATAAAATATATAGATTATGGCAGCTGTTCCATACTTTTGTCCTCCTGAAACAATGCATTATAATTTCTGAGTATCTTTGAAGATTATAGATTGATATCTTTTTAATCAGTTTTTTAAAACTAATAACACCATTGTGATAAAGAAATATTGTTTCTTTGATATCTCAAATAATTCACTATAAAAGTGTTTTAACATAGACTGTAGTGTTAAAGTTTAATCTTGTTTTATATGATATGGGATAGCTTTTAACATAATTACATATAATGGCCAAATTTTATAATTGTACACCCAGTTTGCTGCCCAACAAGGTAGTTGTCTTAATTTTACACATTACCAAAGAATTATTTTGCCAAAATATTTTTGAACAATGCAGGCTTATTGTATGATTTCTTTAATTCCATTTTACTTTTGCTTGTGATATATTTTCATCTTCCCAAGTACCACAAAGTAAATTTGTAACAAGTTGCACTGTTAAGATGGAATCACCAAGTAAATCAGTACCAACTACCACAGCTAAGTTGGAATCACAACATAAATATATACCAAATACCACAGCTAAGATGGAATCAAAAGTAAATATGTACCAACTACCACAGCTAAGTTGGAATCACAACATAAATCTATACCAAGTGACACAGTTAAGATGGAATCACAAGACAAATCTGTATTACAAACTATGGTAATCGTAAAGTGGAATCGTAAGATAAATATGCCTTTATTGTATTTTAGTAATTTGGAGATGAAAATATATCACAAGCAAAAGTAAAATGGAATTAAAGAAATCATACAATAAGCCTGCACTTTTGTATTTTAGTAATTTGGACAGATTTATCTTGTGATTCCATTTTAGCTGTGGTACTTGTTACAGATTTACTTTGTGTTATTTAGGACAGATTTACCTTGTGATTCCATTTTAGCTATGGTATATGGTAAAGATTTACTTTTTATTTCACCTTAGCTGTAGTATTTGGTACAGGTTTCACTTGTAATTCCATATTAACCATTTGTTTAATATTTTTTTTTTCATTTCAGTGCTTGCTTAACTTTTTGTGCACTTGTTTGGTAATCAACATTTAATATGGTGTATTAAATAATACTTTTATTAATACCTCTTTAAATATATGTGTGGAAAGATGATCTTGTTTTATTTGTTTGTACCTTGTCACATAAAAAATAATAGCTTGAATAAAATCATTTCTCTGTATAGGTTAGATTAAAGAAATGAAAACAGTGTTCTTCAATAGAGTTTTAGAAGTTATGCAAGGAATGCCTTAGTAGTGTCTTATTTTTTATTGCATTATACAATTTAACTATAGATTATGAATAATAGTTAAGGAGGTTCTAAGATTGGGAATAATAGTGGATAAGCTAGTCATTCTGTTAGTTGTATCTTTTTAGCCTCCAAGTTCCCACAGAAACAATTTTTTTTAATGGTTAGTTTAATAGAATACCGTATTTTTTGGTGTATAAGATGCACTTTTTTACCCCAAAATTTGATGTCAAAATCTGCTTGCATCCTATACACCAAAAGTATGAATATAATATATATGATATACACAACCATGTGTAAATATACTTAAATAGACATGCATAGTTTAGTTCAATTGAATGTGTTATTTATAACAATAGTAGTTTTTTTCTTTTAAAAAACATAACTATTTATAATACTCCCTAAATAATAAAAAAATAAATTATACTAATGGAGTTAGTAAAGTTAGTATAGTAAAGTTTTCCCCAAAACTTTGTCTTCAAAATAAGGGTGCGTCTTATATTCCGAAAAATATGGTACTTTTTTTCTTTGGCAGCAGAATTCTGTAGTAATAACACTTGTGTGGTTGAGTCATAACATTCAAAAGTAATAGATGTAGTATTACAGTTGTGTAAAACAGAAACCAGTAGCCTCCATTAGTCTTGTTAGTATTTTATTCAACTCCAGGTCGATCCATGTTGCTACCAGTTGTTGGACATTCAGTTGGCTTGGACATGTTTGGAAGCTTGATCCAACAACTGCAAAGTTTTCACTGCGAGGTTGTCTTCCATTTAGAAAGGTAGGCAGACCAACATTCTTAATGACAGAAAAAAAAGGAAACTAAAAAAGTGTAAAAGAAAGTTCTATTAAAAGTTTATAATATTTATTGTAAATTTGTCGTAACAGTACTGAAATGTTGAACTATATACTAACTTTGATTTTAGCAAGGCCATGCTTCAGTTAGCCAAATGTATGTGTGTTTTGCTGTTGTCCAATTAAATAATAGGAGTGCATTTTGGTTTCTTGATTATTTACTTGGTATTAACAAATGCAATTATAACTGTTAAATGTATATTACTTGAAAATTTATATAATTTTAATTTTAAAAGATCAGGTAACACATATAGTTACTAAAATCAGTTGCCCATACATGCTAACTTAATATATTATATATTATGGAACATTAACAGAAAAAAATATCAGATATATTCTGTATCATTACTCTAAAGCAAAAAAAAAATCAAATTTAAAACTATTAGAAAGATTGATATCATAAACATATTACATCAATGATAAGCAATGCAAGTCTTTCACAATACTCTGTATATTGCACATTTTTTTTAAACGGAAAGTAAATTTTAAAAGTTTGTTACTTAAAGTGTAGATTAAAATAGTAACAGCAAATGATAAAAAAAATGAATTTTAAACTTTTGGCTCATTATAGCATATTTTTTTAAGATAATATTTTTAGAAAGTCAGTAATATCAACTGGATAAGATATATTTTATGCACACTTTGTTAGAGGTAATACAAGAAAAGTGAAAATGTTATTAAGCATGGTGTAGGTCAAGAACTTTAGCAGAACTCCTTTTGTTTTTGGCTAGAAGTAAAAGCAAATTGTGGTTTTAATGTTGAATTAAGTGAAATAAAACTGCATCCACATTTTTTAAACATAATGACTGTTTTAAAATTTAAAGTAATCTGACAGCTTCAATCTGCAATTCTAAGTATAATGCTCATGCCTTCTTGATTTTCTTAAAACAGTGGTCTGAATCATCTACAGATGTAATTTTTAACAAACATTAATTATTTATCTTTGCTTTTTATTGTCAGAAATGACTGTTAATGGTGTTTTTAGTTTCATGTTTAACAATAAGATTGTTTTGTAATCAGATATGTTGTTCATCCTATGATATATATTTATTCAACTTTGTTATTCTAGGACTTGCTGATTCCCCAAACAGCACTTTTACAGTATGTTCTAGAGCAGCCTTACTCACGAGAAATGGTTTGTGCAATGTTGGGACTCAGCAAACAGGTAAAGCATTTATTTCAAAAGAACTGACTTGAAACTTCTGTAACTGGTCTGGCTCAGACCACTGACCCACTTTATAGTGATAATGTATACCTACCATTATTTATGAGATTATATATAAACATGTTACAAAACTATACAAAGTGACTAAAAGTGCACTTCTCAAAGATTTTCACACATTGCTACTCACCTTCTAGTTTCATATATCTTTCTGTTGATATATTAATTCTTGACTTCAGACACTTCAATTTGCTTATAAACATTTCATATCAAGTAGAATTATTACAGAATTATAATGACTTTTAAGCAGATAGATATTGAAGTTGTTTATTTTGAAAATACACTGTTATACTTTTATAAATTATAACAATAAAGCTCAATTCACAGATTTCATTTGATTTCATTCAATAAAAGAAATTCTGAATTAATAAACCAAACTTCAGGGCCATCAGGCAACTTTATCAGCCATGTTTAGGTTTACCTCATATGCTCTTGTCCATGTTATTTTGTTCCTTCTGCATTACCCTTCCTTTATTCAAACTTTTATCTTTTCCTGTTCATGTTGGCGTGCAGACATCATCGTTCTGATGTGTTTGCAGTTGATGTCCACCAAGTTTTATTTCATAGTTCCTACATTCTCCTCTTTTCCGATCATTACTTTATGCCCAAAACTTTGGCTGCTTGAGAGGGAAGTTCTGTATTCACACCTATTTCCTTTCCTTCCTTAATCCACCTTTATGACTGTTCTGATCTCGACTGCCTCCTCAGGGCTCTCTGATGGTATATGCATACAAAGCTCCCTTCTGTGGTTCTCATTTGTTTATTCCTTGGAATCCTAACCTCTCCCATTACTCTTATGGGTTGGATTCACCTGGCATCTTTTTCATATTTCTTCCCATCAGATCTGTCATTTTACTATGTCCCTGGCTATTCATTTTCATCTTCCCTTGGACGATATCAGCATACATACTTTTACATACATCTCCTTATACTTTGTTTCTCTGTGAGTGATAAGTACACAATTCTATTTTCTTTGCAGGGGCCTTTCTTGTATATGTGGATCCCACTTTGTAGCAAGTGTTGCCTGAACAGGTATACTTAGTCCTAAATCTACACTGAAAGACTGGTGCTTATAGGACATTCCTTCCCTCTAGTCTTACACTGCTAAATTAGGGACGGCTAGCGCAGATAGCCCTCGTGTAGCTTTGTGCGAAATTCAAAAACAAACAAACAAACTAATTTTTGATGCTAAGTTTATGATAAAGTTTGTTTAATTAAATTTTGAATGTAACTGTAAAACATCAGGACGTGCACTTTGACCCCCCATCTGTAAAGTTAGGGTTAATAAGCAAAGTTGAATAGAAAAAATAGTGGAAAGAGCTAAGTATATTAGTACTTCTGCAGAGTCCCTGAAAATGTTCTGCTTCAAGAATAAGTAAAACCAAAATAAGAGTAACAAATATTTTTATTTCTTGCTTTTGAAGTTCATGTGTCATGCTGTATTGTAGCCTACAGAGTTCCTCTTGAGATTCATGGCATGCGCACATTTTATTGACGTCACAACAGTGCAAATTGCAACATTAAGTCTCCCTTATGTGATGTCATTTTAGTGTCTACTGACTGACAGACAGACAACACACTACTTTGTAGTGGTATAAGTGGTTAAAACAGGTGACCCCTCCAGGTAGCCTTCAACCCCTTTTTCTGGAAAATTATTAATATTAAATGTAATTTCTTAGAAAGAAATTTTTAAAATTAAGTTAAATAGTTAGATTTTTCATAATAAAATGGTAAAATCTTTTAATTATTGGTCTATGAAATTGAAACATTATCAGTTGTTTGAGAACTGCATAACACTTCACAAAAATATCCTACACAGCACTAAATTATAAATAATTTTTGGAAGTGGAAAATGGACTCACTGATCTGGAGTAACAAAATCAAAGTTTGGGTTTGAGTTTTTCATTTATTTGCAAAAGAGAACTCATCTAGATATTGTTTACCTCATTAGGAAGCTTTTATAATGCATTTATTGTTGATATGTTATTAGGTTAAAATCATAAATAATGCCAAAATACTATAATTATGATATTAGGTATCAGTAATCATTGAAAATTATAATTTAGCATTGCTTGAAAAGTTTTTCAAATGACTGGCTGTAGTAGTTGTTTGACACACTAGAATTAACCTGCTAATTTATCCGTAATAGGTCTCTGTAACTATCTTATGGTTAATAAAAAACACATTCAATTAATTGGTTTAATCTGCTTTATTTTGTACAATTAATGTACTTTTCTGATTTTCAGTACAAGCAAAGTTGTCAAGCTCTTGAGGAACAGTTGGTGGAATTACTACTTGTTGCAATGGAAAGATCTGAGAATGAGGCAGACAATAATGAAGACTGGACTTCCACTCAGTTGCTGTGGCAACACCTCTCATGTCAGCTCATCTACTTTGTTCTTTTCCAGTATACAAGCTTTCCCCAGATGGTGCTGTCTTTACATGATAAGGTGAATATGACAATCATATAACTATAACCTGGTTAATTCAAATATACTTGAAATGTTCAGTTCTTCAATTTTCATTTTCTTTTCTTACTTACACACACATTTTTCATTTAGTGTCCTTCAGGTATCTGAATTAAAAGAATGGGTTAATCCTCTTCAGACTGGTATTAACTGTGAATAAATTTCATCAGCTCTACATTAAGCAATAACTTTGGGCTTGTGCATATAATACCTTTAAAACTTTTGGAAAATAAGTCAAAACTGTACCAATCAAATCTAATAAAGGCGACAAGAGAGCAAAGTTTTAGACCTGATGAGACAAAAGCAGAGTTTATGTGTATTGCAAATAATGGCATGTCCACTTGAAATTCATCTTCTGTATAAGTTGCACTGATATACATACACTTACCCTAACATGCAACTGGTTTTTTGCAATACACTGCTCTCCTAATATGATTTTTATATTTACATGTGAGGACCTACCTTTTTTAAAAATCCTGTCTACAGTATAGGCTATAAAAGTTATGATTTGAATGAGCAATATCTATATTATAATGAGTAATTTATGCTAAATTCATTACCTCTCAGAAGGGTGGAAAATAAATTAGAGAAGAGGGAAGAATTAGAGAGCAAATGTCACAATTCTCATACTAGGAGAGATTGAGGATTAATTAAATATTTCATTATAAAATAATTTACTTAAAACTTATTTAATACTAAAGTTAGATTTATTAACAATGTTTTGATACCAAGTTTATTTGTATGCAATGATAATAAAGTAGTTTAATTAACTTTTTAATGTGACTCAGTAAAACGTCCTGACATTTGTAGAAAGGGATACCATATAGAAAGAGTTAGAAGTGGGGGAGAGAGAGACATTTTTTTTTTTTAATTACATTGAAAGTGGTATGGTGCTTGATTTTTTGGTAAGTTTAGGATTTCTAATGAAATACAAACCTAGTTATAAACTGTATCATTATGCAATATGTGCATAACTGCTGACCAAGGAGCCATGTTTCATACACGATTGGCGTTACAGCCTACTAGTTACAAATAATACATCATAAGTTAGTCCCTTTTTTAAAAAGAAGTGGTGCAATAAAATATCTTCTAAAACCTTAAAACTAATATTAATATTTAGTACTTGTATTATTCTATCTTATACAATAAACTTATCTTTGTCCTATACACCTGTTTCAAATTGCAAGAAATAGAGAACACAGTGGGCCTCTCTGTCCTTTTCAGACATTTTACTGTATTGATGATCACCATTTCTCTATGTATCAAGCTACCACAGTGAGAGCTCTTGTATGCCGAAAATGACCTACCATTTATTTGAACAAAATACACATGGAAATCCATTAAGTTAATTTATTACCTTTCATTATCACACAAACAATACAAAACCTTTAATAACTTCCATTATATTATAGCATGCAGATTAAGCCTTCATGGTGTACTAACTAAATATTTGGGGATTTACATTCCATATTAGATTAAAAGTGAGATCTGCAGCAAATAGATTGTAAGGATAAAATTATCCCAGGTTTTAGATAATATATTTATGATTTTTGTCAGCTTAAAACATGCTTACACCTGTTTTTGACATCACCAACTTTAAAAATGAACTATTTTTGAAGCATTTGAGCTAAAAATAAGAAGCAAACTTTTTAAAAATCTTCAAATTTTTTTATTTATTTCATCCACTGATAAGTTGTACCTGTGCATGCACGAAATGTAACAATTCCTACCATCTAAAACAATAATCACAGATAGCCCATTGTGCAGCTTTGTGCTTAACTACAAACAAACACAGTAGGGTGTAAAAAGCGATAATTAGGGCTAACAGTTTTTATTTTTTTATAATTATTTCATCCAAAACACCTTTTAGTAAGTCGTATATGAAAAGAAAATGTTATATGAACATTTCAGTTATAATTTTTTATTTGGAGGTAATATGAGGGAAGAGATGAAAAAAAACTTTTCAAAACATGATTTTGTCATTTTTTTCTCCTGTAAAAACTCAAGATACTGGTCTGTGAAGGGTTAATCATACTGTTGTTTAGCTTATGAGACCTTAATCGAGTTAATTTCCTAGCTCTACTCACAGGATATAATGATTTTTTTTGCATGGAGGGTGAATATATAAGCATATTGTTACCATACATCATGAACAATTCTATAATTGCTAGTTATTAGTTATTTTGAATATATTTTAGGGCAGATATGCATTTTTCATAAGTAAATCATTTAGATTGGGTTTGTCACATTAAACTAGTGAGTTTATGTGCAACTTTCTAGTTGCCCTTTCTCTCTCTCTCTCTCTTTTTTTAGTTATTTTGATAAATAAAAAGTGAAATCACTATATGGAAAAAAATACAACCAGATGCAAAAAAAAGTGGTTCAGTGTTTTAGTCAGAAATAAACAATTCTAATACTGTATATAACATCAATTGTATATAGCTGATTAAATCAGCACTATATAACAGTGATGGAAGTTTGTATAAAAACCGAAACCAAGATGTATTTTATGAGATTCTTACCTACAAACAAGAAAAGTTTGTCAATTGCCAGGCCTTGTTATTATTTATTAACTTGTAACATAAAATATCTGTGATCGTAACACCTAAAAGCATTGAGGATATTCCATGTATCAGATACAATCCAAATGCAAATATCAAGCAGTAGCTGCTCTAAAAGATCACCTTAGGGGTTAGGAGTTGAATGCATTGACCCACAGTGTCACAACTCCTACTGCCTTTTTCTGTCTGCAGCCAGTTGTGGGAAAGGTAGTCACCTCTAATATTTTGGCGTGTTATGAATTAATAAATAATGACAAGAACTGGCAATGGATGGATTTGTTTGAGGTGGAAATTTCATGATAGACATCTCAGTTATAGTTTTTATATATATATAAACTACAAGATCCACATGGTTTTGAGATAAAATACATGAATCTTATTTTAAAATAACCATTATAGCCATCATAACAGCTACTTCACCTGCAGTTAAGTTCATAATAAACAATCTTAGAAAGGTAGAAAAAGCTGAGTTATTGTTATTTTTATGTACTTTAAAATGGCCTGTTTTAATTTTGTAGTTATTGAATAGATGGATTTATATAACCTGTGTTAGTAAAATTTTTATTAGTAAGGTTATGTCATAAGACAGTCCAATTGAAGAACATGTCTAACACATTGTTTTGAATATATATGTAGTTAGCTGGAAGGAATCTGAAGAAAGGTCGTGACCATCTAATGTGGGTTTTATTGCAGTTTATATCAGGAAGTATCCAGAAACACCCAGTACGTTTTTATTATTAGTTAACTTTTATAATAACAAATTGCATAATGTGTTACCCTTGCTTAGAAACTTGAGTCTATGTATATGTGTGTGCAAAGAACATGTTGAAGTATGTTATAAAAGGTTGTGATTATCAGAAGTAGCTTTTAATTTGATATTAATTATTTTTATCAAGAACACACAACGTTGGTTTATTTATATATTTTTTAACTTTTTGGTTATCCTCTCAACTAATTTGTGTCTTTTTATGAAATAATTAACTTTTAATATATGTCTTCAAGATATTTTGTTATTGTGGTTATAAATCTTAATTGATGAATGAGGATTAGGCATCTTTAACCTTTTCTAGACTGGAGGGATATTCCCCAATTTTTTTTTTTTTCCTTTTCACAGTGGTAACATTTAAAATATCTGATAACCAGTCTGTCAGTTTGACAGACCCCAGTTTTGTTGGTTACACAAACAAACTGCAGAATAAAGTTGCACAAATGTGGTAAAGTATATGTCATGTAGCTAAGAACATCAATTATATCTTGTATTTATATGATTTTTGGCTTTTAAATTGGATGAAAATTCACTGTAAAACACTGTTTTATGCAAATAGTAAATATACTTTTCATTATCTTAGATTTCTCTTTTTATGTTATTAGATTTTAAATCTAAAAAAAGGTTCAATATTTGTTCAAACTTATTATTTTGTTCAAACAGCACCTTTCGAAATTTATGGAAGTTTGTATATGATCCTTGGTCTACACAATGTAATATATATATATATATATATATATATAAGAAATGTAGTAAACGACCGAGGTATTTGTTTTATTTATTGTATTGATACTAAACGTACTATTACTTTATATACTCCAATACTAATTTTAACTTTTAATTCTTCTAAGTTAATTTATTTATT